ATCTATCTATCTATCTATCTATCTATCTATCTATCTATCTATCTATCCATCTATATCTATCTATCTATCTATCTATCTATCTCTGTCATATCTATCTATCTATCTATCTATCTATCTATCTATCATCTATCTATCTATCATCTATACTACAATATCTCCCTTCTCTCTCTGTCTCTCTCTCTCTCACCTTTCTGTCTTTCTCTCTATTTACCTACCTTCTGTCTGTCTGTCTATCTTTGTCTATCTACAACAGGTTAATTAAGGAGCCAGCAAGAACACTCCCACCATATGGACAGAGCAAGTCATTTGTAAACAAAGAGCAATCCCCCTTCCTTATAGCACTGATAATGTTCCCTAGTTGAGTAATATGACATCTGCAAGTAAATAATCAAGCACCAAGGACCCCACCATTCTCTTCCTCTTTCTTCTCCTCCCTTCTCCTTCTCCACAAAACAAACCCCGCTCCCAAATAGCACTGATGATGTTGCTTAGTTGGGTCATGAAATGTCTGCAAGGAAACAGCCCAGCTCAGAGCACCAAGGACCTACTCTAAAGTAGCTCCGTTTGAGTTCTAAGCCCTTTTCATAGCTAGTTTTTGAGACTGTAAACTTGGAATCAGGGCTCGGGGCTTTTATTTCAGTTTTAGGCCTTTTACAGTTAAGTCAGGCAGCCTAGTTTTATCATCACTCTATAAGAAATACGGGCAGTCGTGGATGGAGCCTGCCCACCGTGGTTGTAAGTTAGGACAATCCGTAAAACGAATCGCCTCCGTGACCCGCTTAACTTCGCAACTTTTTTTCCGCCCCCGGGCTGTTAGATAAATGCCAGCGGTTGTAACCGTAGATTAACAACGCACCTCTCACTCTTCAAGGCTGGCATAAAACTTGAATCACCTAGTCATTTTATTTATTCAGGTTTACTAATCATGAATCACAGCCAAGCCCCGTCTGGTTTTCTTCTCTGTGATTCAAGACCTACATGAAGTTCTAGGAATCGGGAAGGTAGCACACTGTTGTTTGCAACTGGGCTGCGGTGAATTATTCCACGCTTTTTTTAAGTTCTTTTAAGGCCCTGTGGCATATACTCCTTGCAGACACAGCTGGTCATTTGCATCCTTTCAGAGGGTCGTTGAGCCCACTTGGATGTTTGATCTGTATCATCGGGGTTACCTGAGGGGTGCAAATGGTTCCTGTAGTCTGTAATTTTTCCGTCTGAAAATCCATTCCTCCTCCCACACAATGGGAGGAGGGTTTATTGGTCATCTTTCTCAAGTCCTCTTCTGTATCAAGTAGTCCTTGACGTAGGACCACAACGGATCTCAAAATTTTCACTGCTAAGCAAGACAGCCATTAAAGGAGTCTGGCTCCTGCCAAGCGGTCTGACCCTTTCCTGCCAAGCGGTTAAGTGAATCACTGCAGTTGTTAAATGAGTCACAGGGTTCTTAAGTGAATCCAATTTCTTTGCTGGCTGCCAAGTGGCTGAATTTGGCTCACCTGATCACAAGGGAATGCTGCAATGGTTGTATGAAACCTAAGTCATTTTTTTTCAGTCCTGTTGTAACTTCGAATAGTGACCGTACAAACGGTTGTACGCCGAGGACTAGTTGTACACAGCTTAGAGATTTTTAGAAGGAAACTGAGGAAATTAGGATTTTACACGAATTTAGCAGGACCGTTTGGCAGACTGAGAACATTCCTCTGCCCACGGGCCGTCCCGCGGCAAATTCCTTTGCCACCCTTTGAATCGACCTGTGAATTCCTTGCATTTATGCCCACTGGAATACAATTTCTGAGGCCAAATTCTTGCTGGAAATCTTGTGACCCGCCAGCTAAACAACTGTCTCGCTTAGCATTGGAAGTTCTGGCTCCAATTTTATTATTATTATTATCAAATTTATTTGCACCCTCATCTTGAAGTCTGTGTTGCGGCTGGCCAGTGGAGCTGGTGGCAGACTCAGACAGTGAGGAGGTTGTAGAGGAACATGGACCAGTCCTGGAGTCTGGGGAAGGCTCTGACAAGGGCTCTGCATCGGAGGCAGAGATGTCTTCAGAATCAGAGATCAGTGGGGAAGAAGAACAGCTGGAGCCTGTTCCCAGTGTGTGCATGCACAGAGCTGCCAGGAGAAGGGAACAGTAAAGGAACAAGGGTCAACTCGGGAGTAAAGACACAGATGGATGGTGAATGGCCCCTCCCAGAGGAAATAAAGAGGAGTGAAAGGGGAATGGTGTTTGCAGGAGACAATTAGTTCCTTTAATTAGTGTGAAGATTTTTTTTCGTGACTCTCAGAGACTCTTTGCCAAGGATTTCCTCATACAGCCTTGCGCTTGGAAGCTATCGGCCTGGCAACTCTTCAAGCCTGATAAGCTCTATGGTTGTAATTCACCTGTCAGGATTCCGGCAGTTACCTCAATTAAATCATGAGTCTCGAGCCAAACTTCCAAAATTAAATCGGATTGATTGGGAGTTAACATGTCCGGCACTGCCTGGGTGTAGCTGACTCTGAGACACATCATTCACTGTCACCCTTGCCTCTGGTTTCCCCCCACCCCTCTGGGTGTATCATTCATATTCTCCAATGAGGCACATCCATAGCCCAGAGTCATCAATCATGCCTTCCAGTTAGATAGTTGCGTGACAGAAACTTCAGTCACCTAGTTACAATCTCTGAAAAACTATGTAAGGAATGCAGTTTTGATTTCCAAGCTGCCGCACTGCTTTTTCAAACCCCTTTTCCCCCTCCCTTTCTGTTGGCAACTCTAAAATGGCCATGGGAATGTTTTATGAATGGACATCACCTTTGAAAGACCGTTTGCTGGGACTTTGCTGGATGTGAATGATAGTGCGAAGACCCAAAGGGGTGTGGCACAAAAGTAGCAAAAGTCACAAAAATAGGTAAAGTCCTCCAACTTGGCCCCCAATGTCCAGTTATCATCGACTGGAGAAAAAAAACTCTTCCCAAGAACAGTTTTTTGAGTTTGGACGGAATTTCTTCTCTTTAAAAAACTGTTCCTGGGAAGAGTTTTTTAAAGAGAAGAAATTCCATCTGAACCCAAAGTACGTATAAATTATAAATAAAAACCAACACAAACCACGCTGCAGCAATTAACGAGACAGGGCAGGATAAGGAATTGCCAAAAATATATAATATTATATAATAAAATATAACATACAGTATATTCAAAAAATAAAGAAACACACACACTTGGGAGGACGCCAGAACCCAGGTAAGACTTGACAAAGATAATGCACGCTTTGCTTCCAGCAAGGTGCTGTGCGCAAACGCCCTTTTAAAACCCTGTTTTCCCAGCTGCAGCTAATGAAGGGAATCAGGGCCCTTTCCTCCCCCATAACACATGTTGCTCCCTTCTCCGTTCCACCCTGTGTGCCCTAGGATGAAGAGGGGGCGGGCCTGGATCTTCCTCTGAATGCCCAGCCGGACTGTGCCCTTCCCCAGTTTCCTCCCCAGCCACCGGAGCCACATTTCCACTTCCTGTCAGCTGTTCGAGCTCCCCCTCAGAATCAGACTCCCAATAGGGGCATGACAGATAGGAATTGACATTAACCTAATAAAAAGGGGTTTTTGTCAGGCTTCGTGATTTTGGGAAGCCTGGGTCAGAACAGGAAAATGTTGACTTTCTCTCTCTCTTCTCTCTTTACTTTCCCCGCCGCAGAGAGGGACTCAGAAGGTTTCTCGCATCGCCATTGCGTTCCTGGTTGCGGCGTGGCTCTTCGTCTTCACCACTTTGGCCGTGACGGTTGCCCAACAGATCACCTGGTTGCAATTCTTGTTTTACTTCTCCTACATCAAGCTGGGAATCACACTCATCAAATACTTCCCTCAGGTGAGCGAAGGAGGGAGTCGGTTTTTCCATGACGGGTGTGTGTGTGTGTGTGTGTATCCTTGACCCACAACCCACAATGGGCCCCCGAAATTGCTTATTTCTTAAGCGAGGCATTTGTTAAGTGAGTTGTGCCCCTATTTATGACCTTCCTTGCCACTGCCGTTAAAGTGAATCGCTGCAGCTGTTCAGGTAGCAACACGGTCGTTAAGCGAATCCGGCATTTCCCCCCGCGAACTTTGCTTGTCAGAAGGTTGCAAAAGGGGATCGCGTGACCCCGGGACGCTGCGACTGTCATAAATGCGAGCTCAGTTTGCCGGATGTCCAAATTTTGAGACCATGAGACTAGACTGATAGTCCTTGATTTACAGCAAGCGAGTTCGTGACCCTTCACAACGGCACTGAAAACGTGACTTATGGCCGTTTTTTCACACGATTGTGCCAGCCTCCCCACGAACCCATGATTGAAATTCGGACACTGGGAAAATTGGTTCATATTGATGATGGTTGCAATGTGCAGAGTTCATGTGATACTCCTTTGCAACTTTTTGGCAAATAGTCAACGGGGAAGCCGGATTCACTTAATGACTGTGTTGTAACCGTGGGGGCCCAGTGTTTAGAATGCAGTATTGCTGGCTCACTCTGCCCACAGCCAGGAAGTTTGATCCTGACTGCTCCAGGTCGACTCAGCTTTCCATCCTTCTCGGGTCAGTAAAATGAGGACCCAGATTGTTGGGGGCAAGAGGCTGACTCTGTAAAACTGCTGAGAGAGGACTGGAAAACGGTATATAAGTCTGCTGCTTGTGAAAGGAGGGAGGGAAGCAAGGAAGGGAAGGGAAGGGAAGGGAAGGAAGGAAGGAAGGAAGGAAGGGGAAGGGAAGGAAAGGAGGGAGGGAGGGAGGAAGGAAGGAAGGAAGGAAGGAAGGAGAAACAAGGAAGGAAGGAAAGCAAGAAGCAAGGAAGGAAGCCATTGTTTTAATTCAGTATTGCCAGTTAACTCCGCTCAGTCAGGAAGTTCGATCTTGACTGGCTCAAGGTCGACTCCGCCTTCCATCCTTCCGAGGTGTGTAAAATGAGGACGTGGCGGTGCAGTGGTTAGAATGAGTATTGCAGGCTAACTCTGCCCAACACCAGGAACTTCGATCCTGACTGGCTCAAGCCTTCCATCCTTCCGAGGTCATTAAAACAAGGACCTGGACTGTTGGGGGCAAGAGGCTGACTCTGTAAACCAGTGGCCCCCAACGTTTTTTGTGCCACGGTCCGGTACCGGCATCACAAAATGATCCGCGGCCCGGTACCAGCATCAGCACGCATGACAAGGCAAGGTGAGCCGAGTGACCGGCCAGCCAGCCGTCCCCGCTTCTCCCCGCCACCTTCAACTCCTCCTTTGTACCTTTGTCGATGGGCTTCGCTTCGGGACGGCTTCGGGACGGCCGCTCGGCTCGCCTTGCCTTGGGTGCTGAAAGAATCCTCGCGCCTTAGTTTCATCGAAGAGGGGGGGGGGGCTTCGAACGAAACTAAGGCGGGAGGATTCCTTCAGGACCCAAACGCCGCTTTCCAACGGGAAAAGCTCACCTGGAAGCACTTTCTCGTCAAACAAGATGGCGGCGCCTAGCAAACCAGCGGCCCAGTAGGAAATGTTCCACGGACCAGTACCGGTCCGCGGCCCGGTGGTTGGAGACCCCCGCTGTAAACTACTTAGAAAGGGCTGTAAAAGCACAGTGAAGTGGTATATAAGAATTAAGTGCTCTTGCTTGGGAAGGGAGGGAGGCAAGGAAGGAAAGGAAGGAAGGAAGAAAGGAAGGAAGGAAGGAAGGAAGGAAGGAAGGAAGGAAGGAAGGAAG